TATTATACATGGAGATCATATCCCCCCTTATGTATTATACATGGAGATCATATCCCCCCCTTATGTATTATACATGGAGATCATATCCCCCCTTATGTATTTATACATGGAGATCATATCCCCCTTATGTATTATACATGGAGATCATATCCCCCCTTATGTATTATACATGGAGATCATATCCCCCCTTATGTATTATACATGGAGATCATATCCCCCCAGTTATGCATTATACATGGAGATCATATCCCCCCTTATGTATTATAACATGGAGATCATAATCCCCCCCTTATGTATTTATACATGGAGATCATATCCCCCCTTATGTATTATACATGGAGATCATACTCCCCTATGTATTATCCCCCATCCCCCCTGCTGCCATTCACTTCCAAGCTCCTTGAGCGCTTAGTTTACAATCGGCTAAGCTCCCACCTCATCGACAACAACCTCCTCGATCCCCTACATTCCACCGAAACCGCCCTACTCAAAATCACTAATGACCTGCTATCCGCCAAAGCTAATGGCCACTACTCAGTCCTCCTTCTCCTTGACCTCTCCACGGCCTTCGACACAGTTGACCACCCCCTCCTGCTTAATAAACTATACTCCCTTGGCATCAGAGACTCCGCTCTCTCCTGGCTCTCCTCTTATCTATCCCAACGCTCCTTCAGCGTTACCTATAATGCTGCCACCTCCTCCTCACTCCCCCCCCTCTCTGTTGGGGTCCCTCAAGGCTCTGTCCTTGGGCCCCTACTCTTCTCCATCTACACCTCCTCCCTTGGACAGCTGATAAACTCCAACGGCTTCAACTACCATCTCTATGCCGATGACATGCAAATCTACCTCTCCACCCCTCACCTCACCCCTTCATTCTCTGCCCGTATCACCCACCAGCTGAATGACATATCAGACTGGATGTCGCTCCACTTCCTAAAACTGAACCTTTCCAAAACCGAGCTCCTAGTCTTCCCCCCCCAGCCCGCACCCCCCCACTGACTTCTCCATCACAACCAACTACGCCACCATCAGTCCCAGCACGCAAGCAAAGGTCCTAGGTGTCATCCTAGACTCTAACCTGTCCTTCCAACCCCATGTCCAATCGCTGACTACCGCATGCAGGTTCCACCTCCGCAACATCTCCAAAATACGCTCGTTGCTAACCCCAGACACTACTAAACAACTCGTTCACTCCCTTATTATCTCACGCCTGGACTACTGCAACTCCCTTCTCACCGGCCTACCTCATCGCAGACTATCCCCACTTCAGTCTATCCTGAACTCAGCGGCCAGACTCATCCACCTTACCAACCACTCCTCTTCTGCCGCCCCCTCTGCCATTCCCTCCACTGGCCTCCACTCAGTGTCCTCCACCCCCTCTGCCATGGCCTCCACTCGGTGTCCTCCACCCTCCTCTGTCATTCCCTGCACTGGCCTCCATTCAGTGTCCTCCACCCTCTCTGCCAATCCCTCCACTGGCCTCCATTCAGTGTCCTCCACCCCTCTCTGCCAATCCCTCCACTGGCCTCCATTCAGTGTCCTCCACCCCTCTCTGTCATTCCCTCCACTGGCTCCCGATTGCCCAACGCATCAAATTCAAACTACTAACACTGACATACAAAGCCATTCGTGGAGCTGCCCCAAACTACCTCACCGACCTGATATCCAAATACCACCCTACCCGTAATCTTCGCTCCTCGCAAGACCTCCTACTCTCTCTAGCTCCCTGGTCTCCACCTCCCACACCTGACTACAGGACTTTTCCAGAGCTTCCCCCATCCTCTGGAACTCCCTAGCCCAATCCATCAGACTGTCACCTACCCTCCTCACTGTTAGGCGCACCCTGAAAACCCATCTCTTCAGGGATGCCTACCCCACCCTCACCTAACAGCCGACCACCCCCCCTCCACTCCTCACTCGTTTCCATCCCTCACAGCCATCTCCTCCTGTACCACCATCCCCTCCCTCCTGAACTGTAAGCTCGAAAGGGCAGGGCCCTCTAACCCTCGAGTATTGTGTATTGTTTTGCTACTGTATTGTCTCATGTCAGAGATACCTTGGCTGATCAGGGGAAATAGGAGCCCCAGAAGGAGATCTACTGAAGGAAGGAAGCTGCTGGCCTATATGAGTTAAGGATCCAGGGTGATCCTGCAAGCCTGTTGGCTCCTAGGGGTCACTGGGAGGAGGTGAGGAGGCAATCTAGCCGCCAATAGGAGAAGATTTTGGCACAATCACGAATTGGTCAATTACCACTACACATTGCATGATTATGTCTATCATCAAAAGGACATTGTTTTGATTGATTTTTGAAAGAGTGGACACTTTTTTGCACTGTTTTGGCACTATAGCACTTTATCTTTATAAAGATTTTATTATAACCTAGTTATTATTTTATACAGTAGGTGTGTGAGCAAAGTATTTAATTTTTAGACACCTGGTATATTTATTTAGAGTGTGAACACGTGTGTTCATTACGGAACACAGATATTGATTATACGTTTGACACCATTTATTTTTTCACTATTGCTATAAAGTGTTTGGATGAATTTTGATCATTTTTAGGGTTGTTTTATATGAATTGGTCACATATTTTTTTAGTATTTATTATGAGCGCTACACTATTTATATATCCAGTCTGATATGTCTTTCAGGAGGTGGATAATTTAGGCGGAGACTGAAGGGGTGAGGCGACTGGTAAAGAGATAGATTTGTGTGTCGTGGACGTAGAGGTGATAGTTGAAGCCGTGGGAGTGTATGAGTTTGCCAAGAGAGGAGGTGTAGATGGAGAAGAGAAGGGGCCCGAGGACAGAGCACTGAGGGACCCCAACAGAGAGGGGGGGAGGTGGCAGCATTATAGGTAACACTGAAGGAGCGTTGGGATAGGTAGGATGAGATCCAGGAGAGAGCGGAGTCTCTGATGCCGAGGGAGTGTAGTTTATTTATTAGGAGGAGGGGGTGGTCGACTGTGTCAAAAGCTGCAGAGAGGTCAAGGAGTAGGAGCACTGAATAGTGGCCATTAGCTTTGGCGGTTAGCAGGTCGTTGGAGAGTTTGAGTAAGGCAGTTTTGGTGGAGTGTAGGGGGCGGAAGCCAGACTGTAGGGGATCGAGGAGGTTGTTGTCATTGAGGTGAGAGCTTAGGCGATTGTAGACTAAGCGCTCTAGGAGTTTGGATGTAAATGGCAGCAGGGAGATGGGTCTAAGGTTTTTCAGGTCGGTGGAGTCCAGGGAGGGCTTTTTGAGTATGGGAGTGATGTGTGTATGCTTCAGAGGGGAGGGGAATGCACCAGTAGAGAGGGAAAGATTAAAGATGTTGGTGAGGGAGCATAGGATGGAGGAGGAGGGAGGTCATAGGAGTTGTGTGTGGGCTAGTGGTGAGGCGGGCCTCATCCTCCGCCACCTCTCTGTCCAAGTATACCCCGTCCCCCGCCACCCCTCTGCCCAAGTATACCACATCCACCGCCACCCCTCTGCCCAAGTATATCCACCGCCACCCCTCTGCCCAAGTATACCACCACCGCCACCCCTCCATCCAAGGATTTGCTCACCTCCAATCTAACCTGTTTCATGATGGTTTAATCCCAGATCACATCTACATGTTGTCTACAGTAAACATTTAAGCTTCCACTGATTACAGAATACTAATACTGTGAGTCCTGACCCTTATACTATATAACTTGTACATTACATACTCCTGACCCCTGCACTATATACTCTGTTGTACATTACATATTCCTGACCCCTGCCTATATATACTCTGTGTTGTACATTACATACTCCTGGCCCCTGCACTATATACTCTGTGTTGTACATTACATACTCCTGACCCCTGCACTATATACTCTGTGTTGTACATTACATCCTCCTGACCCTTGCACTTTATATTTTATATTGTACGTTACATTATCCTGATCCCTGCAATATATACTATGTTGTACATTTGATACTTCTGACCCCTGCGCTATATACTCTTGTACATTACATACGCCTTACCCCTGCACTACACTGTATAGTCTATGTTGTACATTAAATACTCCTGACCCCTGCACTATATACTTTGTGTTGTACATTACATTCTCCTGACCCCTGCACTATATATAATTTATGTTGTATGTTACATCCTCCTGACCCCCTGCACTATATACTCTATGTTGTACATTCCATACTCCTGACCCCTGCTCTCCCCCCACTGCTATATATACACATAATATGGATTCTCTTTTGTTACACCCATTTCCTCCCAGCTGGACATTTTATATGGGATGATGTGATTGGAGCACAGACTTTTACATGGTGATAATAATGTGATAACATCCTCCAACTTTGGACCCTTAAACAGAAAGTGATAATGAGGGAGGAGTCAATACCCCAATGATGGTGGTCTTCAGGATCAGTCCAGTCTTCATCATGGATGCTCTCCCCCCTCCTCACTCTCTGACCTCTGGTGGGGCTCAGCCCCGCTGTTCTTCATGACTAAATCATGGACTAAATAAGGAAGTGCAGTACTTCTTGTGTTGGGAAGATGGCGATGAGTGATAGAGGGGGTGGGGACCCTCGTCCTATAATCCCCTCATCACTGTCCCTCCTATAAAAGACAGTTCTGGTTGTTTCCTCACTCTCTGACTAAGGTCCATGAATAAAGAAATGACCTGGTAGGAGATCAGAGGAGCCATTTCCTAGTTCCCTTGAGGGTGGAATTGTAAGCTCCTCAGAGACCAAGCTGCGTGATGTGGGCGGAGTCCTGGTTTGGGGGAACCAATCAGCTCCTGTCTAGTAATCCTCTTTGTCTTTGTATTTTAGTCCATGGCCGGGAGATGAGGAAAACCTCCGAGGATTGTCTCACTTTGTCTCCAGACTGGAAAGTAGAAGATGAGGACATCACACAGTATAGTCCAGGAGAAAACCCGGCTCCCTCCAATGTCCATCCGGCACCACCCAGTGTAGATGGACCATCGGATTCCTCGTATCCTGAGGAACCTCAGACTGTGCGGGACCGGGCCGGCCTTCCAATAGGGAAGAGCTTCTCCTGTCCTGAGTGCGGGAAGAGCTTCCGTTATAAATCCCGTCTTAATAGGCATAAAAGATCTCACGCGGGGGAGAAGCCATATTCCTGTCCTGAGTGCGGGAAATGTTTTTCAGTTAAGTCCGATCTTCACAAACATCAGAGATCTCATACGGGGGAGAAGCCGTATTCCTGTCCTGAGTGTGGGAAATGTTTTTCACAGAAGTCCAGTCTTTACAAACATCAGAGATCTCACACAGGCGAAAAACCATATTTCTGTCCTGAGTGTGGGAAATGTTTTTCACAGAAGTTCATTCTGCACAAACATCAGAGATCACACACAGGGGAGAAGCTGTATTCTTGTCCTGAGTGCGGGAAATGTTTTTCACAGAAGTCCGATCTTTACACACATCAGAGATCCCACGCGGGGAGAAGCCGTATTCCTGTCATGAGTGCGGGAGATGTTTTTCACAGAAGTCCAATCTTTTTCACACATCAGCGATCTCACACAGGTGAGAAGCCACATTCCTGCCCTGTGTGCGGGAAATGTTTTTCACAGAAGGCCCATCTTTCCACACATCAGAGATCTCACACAGGGGAGAAGCCATTTTCCTGTCATGAGTGTGGGAAATGTTTTTCAGTGAAGTCCATTCTTTACATACATCAACGATCTCATACGGGGGAGAAGCCGTATTCCTGTCCTGAGTGTGGAAAATGTTTTTCAGTGAGGTCCCATCTTTCCATTCATCAGAGATCTCACACAGGGGAGAAGCCATATTCCTGTTCTGAGTGCGGGAAATGTTTTTCAGATAAGTCCCATCTTCACAGACATCAGAGATCTCACACGGGGGGAGTAGCCGTATTCCTGTTCTGAGTGATGGAAATGTTCCTCACTGAAGTCCTGTCTTCCTGTACATCAGGGGTCCCACACAACTCTGGAGGTGTATTAGTGCCTTGAGTGCGGGAAATGTCTTCTAGATGAATGTTGCTGGATATCCCAGCTCTCATGTGGGGAAGAAGCACACCCTGATATACACCTCAGATATACTCCATGACTGATCTTCATCATGGAAGAAACAGTTCATAAGGAGATCAGAGGTCACCAAAGACATGGATGAAGTGTGGGACCGGGTTGGCCATTTATGGCAGGAGAAGAATAAAAATGGAGTCCTGACCTAGAGCACTGGGCTGACTTCTCATTGGGGTGCAGCCTATATACTAGAGATGGTTTGCACCTAAATGGAAGGAGGTCTGCTGTCCTGGGGGAGGGGGTTTATGGGAAGGCTGGAGGAGTATATAAACTAGGATGGAGGGGGGAGGGAGAAATTTGATTATAACGGGGTAGACAGATCAGACAGGGGTCAGTACTTATTGAGGGGTGGAATGGGGAAAGATGGGTGGAGGGCTATGGCAGATGATAAGAAGGTTCCCATGTTACAAACAACCAGTGGAATTTGTACCATTTGTATGAAAATAAAAAATACACAAAATCCATGTGAACAAGGTGTCAGTGAATGAACAAGGTGTCAGTGAATGAAAGTGTTTGTGCCCCAATGCCAGAAGTGTGCCCAGCACAATAGGTGAGTTGGAAGGTTTGGTGCATGAAGAGAACTAGGATTGGATTGGTATTGCTGAATCTTGGCTTCATTCCTCACGTGACTGGGCCATTCATATTCCTGGCTAGGTTCTCTTTCGGAGAGACGGGGGAAATAGGAAAAGTGGTGGTGTCTGTCTCTATGTGAGAAGTGATCTCAGAGCGAGTGTGAAAGAGGACCTAGTCCATGGAGAGTGTGATGAGGCTGAAGTATTATGGGTGGAGCTGCACATGGGGGCGGTACTACAAAGGTCATCATTGGAGTTTGTTATAGGCCTCCCAGTGTTAATGAGAAGGTGGAGACTCAGCTCCTCCCACAGATGGAAAGTGCTGCAAGGGCTGGGACAGTGATGATAATGGGGGATGGTAACTACCCGGAAAGTGACTGGAGTAATGGTACTGCAGGAACAGTTAAAGGGCAAAAGTTTTTAAACCTACTACAGGACAATTTTATCGTCCAGTTCATAGAAGCCCTAACTAGGAATGATGCTCTGCTGGACCTGGTCATCTCCAACCATGCAGAGCTTATTACGAATGTCCATATAAAAGAACATCTGGGTAGCAGTGACCATAACATCATTTCATTTATTGTTAGCTGTAAACAGCGAGCACATACGGGAAAAATAAAAATGCTCAACTTTAAGAGAGCTAATTTTCCAAGGCTGAGAGCTGTTCTCCAAGACTTAGACTGGGAGGGAATATTGACATCGATGAACACAACACAGAAATGGGAGTTCTTCAAAAACACTGTACGTGACCACACTGCAAAATATATTCCCATGGGCAACAAGTATAAAAGGCTACAAATCCAACCTATGTGGCTTACGGCCAAAGTTACAAAAGCGATAGATAATAAGAAAAGAGCTTTTATTAAATATAAAAATGAAGGAACGCGATCATCGTTTACACATTACAAAGAATAGAACAGAAGATGCAAAAAGGAAATAACAACAAACAAATGACAGAAAGATATCAGGACGACCCCAAAATATTCTTCCAATATATGAATAGTAGAAAGGTCCGGTCCCAGCATGTAGGCCCTTTACAGAACCATCTAGAGGGGGGGGACAAAGAGAAGGACAATGTATGAAATCCCTTCTTCAGCTCTGTGTATACAAAGGAGCATGGGGGGGCTCTTGTCCATAATGGGGGGTGGTACTGACACCCCCCAGATGATCCACATTGGCTCACAATTGATATGATCCAGAAATATTTGTACAGAATAAAGGTGAATAAAGCCCCTGGACCGGATGGCAGACACCCACGGGGCCTTAAAGAATTCAGCTCTGTCATCTCACAGACATTGTTTCTCATTGTTAGGGACTCTTTAATGACTGGCATAGTACCACTGGATTGGTGTAAGGCCAATGTGGGGCCAATATTTATAAAGGGGACAAAATCTTCCCAAGTAATTACAGACCTGTTAGTGTAACTTCTATAGTTGGGAAGATACTGGAGAGTTTAATAAAAGACCACAGAGAGGAGTTCTTGCTGGAAAGAAATATTGTAAGCCACAGACACCATGGATTCATGAACTTCAAAAAAATATAGGTTACGCTTAAATACATACAAAAGTGTAACAAAAAAAAAGTAACAAAACAATAAGAAACAATATATTAAATCAAAATAAAATCCAGCAAAACAAAAATGTCCAAAAGTTCAAATAATAAATAATGTCCAAAAAATAATAATTCACCGCATGAATCCACCACCAAAAATGGTTAAATAGAACTCCCCAGAGTAATATGCTGATTGTTGAAAAACCAGCATATAGTACTTGTTACTCTGGGAGAAATGAATATTATGTTGACAGCAACCCTGACGAAATGTGGGATGAACTCCAACAGATGATGTGCTGCAAAGCTGAAAATCCACTTCAAAGGTGATTTAGTATCCAAACTGAGAGATGATCAGAACCGTCACTCGAAAGAAAAAAAGTGACCAATCATGGTGCAGTATGTTTTAAAAAGGCATCAAACTTTAATGAAGAAATGCACTTCCAAGCAAGGTGTCCAGACTGACCCAGTATATAAACAGCGTGTGTGATGAATACAAGCGACTCAGACCCAGCTAAACATGCACATGCAACGTGCAAACAGACCAGAAGTGTTCTGAACGTCACATCCAAAGGCACCGCCCTACGCATTTCATCATCGACGTCCTCAAGGAGCGGATGGATTGTGAGATGTCAGCTGTTCATTAAATATTCACTGCACCAGACTGACAGCTGGTGACTAATGAGAGGGACTGAGCAAGCAATCCTATCCCAAAACAACAATCTGTCATGTAAACAAATGGATACAATAGATGGGTAAAATGTAACAATGTGGTAAATAACAAACATGACTTCAATATAAGCAGATAAAAGATCATTGGGAACATAAACATCTTGGGAGACAGTAACAAAATAGATACATGTGTCATTAAAGGAAAATCTTCATTCAACATAAACACATGTATCTTGTAATGCACTTTGATATCTCTGCACACCTATCTAAACAAAAACCTAATATATCTAACGTAAGAATGTATATAAAAATATCTATACAAAACATAAAACATGATAAAGAAACATTAAAAAAAAAAAAAAAACATTTAACGTGGGCATTGTCAAATACAGTCATGGCCGAAATTGTTGGCACCCTTGATATTTCTCCATGGAAATCATGTATTTCTCACGAAAACGTATTGCATTAACACATGTTTGCTATACACATGTTTATTCCCTTTGTGTGTATTGGGACAAAACAAAAAAAGGGAGGAAAGAAAGCAAATTCGACATAATGTCACACAAACCTCCAAAAATGGCTGGACAAAAGTATTGGCACCCTTTCACAACTGCGGATAAATAAGAATGTTACAAGCATGTGATGCTCCTGTAAACTCACCTGGGGCAAGTAACAGGTGTGGGCAATATAGAAATCACACCTGAAAGCAGATAAAAAGGAGAGACGTTCACTTAACCTTTGCATTGTGTGTCTGTCTGTGCCACACTAAGCATGGACAACAGAAAGAGGAGACGAGAACTGTCTGAGGACCTGAGAACCAAAATTGTGGCAAAATATCAACAATCTCAAGGTTACAAGTCCATCTCCAGAGAACTAGATTTGCCTTTGTCCACAGTGCGCAACATTATCAAGAAGTTTGCAACCCATGGCACTGTAGCTAATCTCCCTGGTCGTGGACGGATGAGGAAAATTGATGAAAGATTGCAACGCAGAATAGTCCGGATGGTGGATAAGCAGCCCCAAACATGTTCCAAAGACATTCAAGCTGTCCTGCAGGCTCAGGGAGCATCAGTGTCAGCGCGAACTATCCGTCGACATTTAAATGAAATGAAACGCTATGGCAGGAGACCCAGGAGGACCCCACTGCTGACACAGAGACATAAAAAAGCAAGACTACAGTTTGCCAAAATGTACTTGAGTAAGCCAAAAGCCTTCTGGAAAACGTCTTGTGGACAGATGAGACCAAGATAGAGCTTTTCGGTAAAGCACATCATTCTACTGTTTACCGAAAACGGAATGAGGCCTACAAAGAACAAAACACAGTACCTACGGTAAAAATATGGTGGAGGTTCAATGATGTTTTGGGGGTTGTTTTGCTGCCTCTGGCACTGGGTGCCTTGACTGTGTGCAAGGCATCATGAAATCTGAGGATTACCAAAGGATTTTGGGTCGCACTGTAGGGCCCAGTGTCAGAAAGCTGGGTTTGCGTCCAAGATCCTGGGGTCTTCCAGCAGGACAATGACCCCAAACATACGTCAAAAAGCACTCAGAAATGGATGGCAAAGAAGCGCTGGAGAGTTCTGAAGTGGCCAGCAATGAGCCCAGATCTAAATCCCATTGAACACCCTGTGGAGAGATCTTAAAATTGCTGTTGGGAAAAGGTGTCCTTCCAATAAGAGAGACCTGGAGCTGTTTGCAAAGGAAGAGTGGTCCAAAAATTCCGGGTGAGAGGTGTCAGAAGCTTATTGATGGTTATAGGAAGCGACTGATTTCAGTTATGTTTTCCAAAGGGTGTGCAAACCAAATATTAAGTTAAGGGTGCCAATACATTTTTGTTCCAGCATTTTTGGGTTTTGTGTGACATTATGTCATATTTGCTTTTCTGCCTCTGTTTTATATTTGTTCCAATACATACAAAGGGAATAAACATGTGTATAGC